GTATCAGGGGGGATCTGTTTGTGCCCAGGTGTTTGCCTGGCTTGTGGTGTGGAGATTTTTTTGTTTGTGAGTGCAGGCTTCCAAATGATTGACAGTCTGGTGGAATCATCTCTTCTATTCATGCTTTCAGGTCTTTTTTCAATCTCTATGGCTTCTCTGATGATTCTGTGGCTGGGGTTTTCTATAGTGGCTAGGGTTTTGGTGCCATTGAAGTTGATGCTATGACCTGTGGCTTCCATGTGTTGGACTAGTGAGGAAGTGTGCTCCAGCTTTTTGACTGCATTTTTGTGTTCATCCAGGCGGGTACTTATTCTTCTATTGGTCTGTCCAATGTATGTGGCCGGGCATGATGCACAGGGGACTTCGTATATGCCTTGGTTTTCTAGGTCAATTTTATCTTTGGGGTTTCTAAGGATGGCTGCTATTTTTCTGTCTGTTTTGAAGGCAGTCTTGATGTGATGTCTGTGTAGTATCTTACTAATTTTGTCTGTAGTACCTCTTATGTAGGGCAGGACAGCTGTTCCATAGGTCTGTTCATCTTCTGGGTCTCTATTATGTCTCAGTGTGTTTTTGTGGATCAAGCCGGTGATTTTGCTTTTGTGGAAGCCGTTGGCTGTCAGTATTTTAGTCAGGGTGCATAGTTCAGTCTTAATGTGTGTCTTGTCTCCAGGCGTTTGGTTCTAGTAATTAGTGTTTTAGCCACGGAGTTTATCTGTGCTGGGTGGTGGTGGGATTGGGCGTTGAGGTAGCGGTTAGTGTGTGTTTTCTTCAGGTATACGGTGTGTCCTAGTGTGCCATCTGTTTTTTTGTAGATTAGTACATCTAGGAATGGTAGTTGTTTGTCTGTTTCCGTTTCCATGGTGAACTTGATTTTGGGGTGTGTGCTGTTTAGGTGTGTTAGGAAATTGTTTAGGTTTTCTGTGATTTGGCCCCATGGAAAAGAAAACCTAAACAATTTCAGAGAACCAGTAGTTCAGAGAACCAGTAAAACGGGCCCCTGGCTGGCCCTGCTCTTCTCTGCCCACTCCTCCATTCCCTGCCTAGTTAGTCCTTATTGCTTATGCATGACATCACACACATGTGCAACAATCGCTGACGGCCACAGTGGCGCATTGGAGAAGCGGAGCAAGCAAAGCCGGAGGTCGGTAATTTTCACTGCAAAAAGCTTCCAGACTCCGTATCTTTTTTTCGGTGCGGGTGCAGTCCAGCCGCACCGAAAAAAATATGTGGCAGCTGCAGGCATTCATGACAAGGGCGATGTGGGCTGGCGGGGAGCCCAGCGACAATGGCTCAGTCCTGGCTTGCCTTCCCTGGCAGCCAGCCACAGGAGGAAGGTAAAGTCATGGCCGTGGGACGACGAAAGAAGCAGTTGTGGGGGAAGAAATGGGGAGATTAAGGGCCAGGACCTCTGAAAGGGGAAATGGGGTGATGCAGAATTAGCCCAGGCCTTTGACAGATTAGGCCACAACTGCCTAGGCAGAAAATAGGTAGATGGGTTAGGGAAGGGAGAGAGAGAAAAGAAAGGGGGGGAGAGAGAGTGAAAGAGAGATAAAGGAACAGAGAAGAAAGTAAAGAAAAAGGGAGAGAGAGAGAAAGGAAGAAAAGGGATAGACAAAGAGGGGATGGAAGGAAGGGACAGAAAGAAAGAGGGAAAGAGAGAAAAAGAGAGAAAGAAGAGACAAGAAAGAAAAGGGAAAGAAAAAGGAAGAGAGAAAGGAAGAAAAGGGATAGACAAAGAAAGAGGGGGGATGGAAGGAAGGGATGCAAAGAAAGAGAAAGAAAGAAAGAAAAAAAAAGAAAGAAAGGGAGGGAGGAGAAAGTGAATGAGATATCTAGTCCAACCACCTGCTCCAGCAGGGTTAGAAGGGAGTTTGTGTATGTGTGTATGCATGGCTGTCAAAACTCAAAAACCTGTCAAGTAACTCTGGGGAGGTCAGTCATAAATTAGAACACTTGCTAAGCACCCGGCCATTAAGCGAGGACCACTTGTATTTGGTTTGCCAGTCACATGGCCACCTGGCCACGCCTGCCCAGTCACATGACCACCAAGCCACACCCACAAATTAGGCCACCCCACAGAACTAGTTAAGAAATTTGAATCCCACCCCTGGGTTGGGGGCACTGAAGATAAGTTTGTAGCACCAAGGGGGCGGTGGGCTGAAAAAGTTTGGGAACCACTGAACTAGATGATAGAAATTTGTCAATCTGCTAACTGTACCCCTAAATATTTTTAAAGTTGCCTTGACAGGCTCTAGTTTCACCAAATTTGATAGCTTTTTGAGCACGTTCGGGTTCTTTTTAATATATTCTTGCAGTTTATCTTCTTACAATATTTTTCTAATAAGTAACTTAGGTAAAGATGAATAATGAAGCAGTTCTAAAAGTTGTTACAGATCTATATTGATGCATGCTAATGTAACATAGATATTGGAAGAACATGGGTATATTTTGTAGCATTAGATTTTGGTGAGATTTGCCTCTTCTCCCTTAAAAACGTAATTGCCTCAATAGTTTTGTTGACTGGAAATTGAGGGAAGAATGGGTGATACCATTACAGTAAAGGGGTGATTCCATTCCTCAAGCACAAGGTGGCCTTGTCCCTTAAACTCTCAGGCAAGTCAGTCAGTTATTGTATGAAGGAAAAAGTGAGAAACAGAAACTCAGCTTTGAGACCTCTAATTACATGAGACACATTCCACACTTGCCTTCAATTTTTACTCCTAAGTGACTGCAAAATTAAAGGAAATGTAAAAGTAATGAGTTTCAATAAGATTAAACAAGACATGCTAAGGAACAGTCATATCCATACTATCTGAATGTTTTGATTATAACTCCAATATTCTCTTAGTTTTGGTTAAGTTGACCTTTTGCAGTTGTAAATTAGCAGATCTGTAAGATCTAGCATACCATGTCCATATATTCCAGTTGTGCAGTCTTACAGAACTCTATTCCTTGATTATGGGAAATAGTTACATTTTCCTAAATAACAGAAAATCTCTATGTGCAGTTTATTAAAATAGCTGCAGCCCTCTGCAATGCATAAGCTTTCCTATGTAAAATTTCCTTTCAGTGCTATGAAATAGAGATTCCAAACAATTAGCTTTTTGCCCTAATAGTAAGAAATTAATGTATGTGTATCTTTTCCTTGAGAATTCCACTAATGTATGTTAAAATATAAGAAAAAGTCAAGGCAACAATAAAATAATGCTGCCAAACAAAGCTTTTCCCATCTTTTGCATTTTATATAAAAATGGAGATAACTTTAAAACGAGGCTATTAAATAATACTGTGCTTATCAGCTCTTCTGTTTCTATCGTTTTGTTTGGAGAGAAAATTATGTCTTGCATCTTTTGAAATTGCAGGTTTTTCTTTTAAATCATTGTATGGTATTGTCATACCTTGCAGTATTTAAGTAAAAGATACTTTAATTCACAGAGTTCAGTAATAATAAATGACAAGCTAAAAAGTGAGTTCTGTGTATAATTTAAATCACAAGGACCACACGGTTTCCTGGTGTGACTTGGGAAACATCATAGATTAAAAATATATAGTGTGATTAAAAACATTCATTGAGTGGTATCTTGACTTTCTCAATGTAGCAGTAATTAAAGAATGAGCTTACAAAGAATTACATATAAGAAATAAATTAGGGAGGTGTTAAATATTTTAACAAATCCTTGGCATTTTGAGATATTAACATTATTTTAATTATATTTTAGTATTCATCCTTGCAGAGAAAGCCAATTTATTCATTGGACGACATCTTCTATACAACCGATTTGATTTTGAACTAATAACCCAAGGAGATCTTGAAAGGGAATGCTATGAAGAGCAATGCAATATTGAGGAAGCAAGGGAAATTTTTCGAGATTCAAAAAAGACAGTAATTATTTAACTTACCAATGCTATTGAACATTTGACATGTGCATGCCTTTTGATTGTTGCTGACAAGTCAACAGCATACTCTGCATAGGAGCAGCTGTTAACTTTTTTTTATATATACCCTAACAGTGAAGGCTTCTAAGTTAGCCCTGGTCATCTTGTTCTTCAGTTGTTTGAACTGATCCTTTGAGAGTTGTATGCAATGAAAGTTCATTTTAATCTATGCCGATTAATGTACATTCAAAGTGACAAAGTTATTCTAAGTTCTGTCACGCAGGGATGGAAACTATCCCATTTAGAAAGCTGCTATCAAATATACACTTGAATGTCCCTTATACTGTAAATCCAAACACAAGTGAAATAGGAATACCTACTTTATTTTTCTTGGGACTAAGAAAACTGCCTATTCAAACTTTGTGTGATCACTTTAGCAGTGACAAGACCATTTCATTTACAAGTCAATGTCTTGCAGAGAAAAGGATTTGAAATGTGTAGTGGGTATGTGGATATTTATTTATTTTTATATTTATCTAGAAAAGTATGGATCTCAACTTATACTGCAAATGTATGAAGACACTTAGGATATGATTTGTAAAAATTGTATGTGGATGATGTGAAAAAATCTTAAACGCTATCCAGTTAATGGCAGCGATGTTCATGCAATCATATTCTATGCAGTACTTTTTCTAGGAAAAGATGTGTTTCTTGTGGAAATAGTTTCCTTTTTCCAGCATCAGATTACGGTACGCTGGATGCTGGATCACTGCAATGGTGTTTGAATATTTACTCAAGTATAAAGACAGAATGTCAATCAAATAAACAGAGCTGTCACTTTGAGAAACAAACATCATTCAGTGCAACTAATGTGTCTCATTCTGAGAACGTTTCAATAATTGTCATGATCCAACTATTTCAATTTGTTTCTAAAGTAACTCAAAATAATTTAAAATATAAAATCACATCTCTCCTGTCTTCCTCTTCCCCAGTATCAAAGACAATTAAAATTTCAAATTCAAAACAGTCAATATGTTGAGATTTAACCAGCGCATTATAAGTTATTCTAAATAAATTACTGGAGTATTGATTTTAACATTTGAAAGCAAGTACTATATATAGCCAAACTTGGTCAGGCTCGTATAGACATAATCTAAGCATGTTTGTTTTTGTTTTCTTAGATGTCTTTTTGGTATGAATATACTCTTAGAAGTCCTGGCTCAAAAACAGGTAAGACAAAAACAACACTAGTGATGTATTAAAATTATTTTGACATATAGTATTTTGATTTAATTTTCGGTCTGTGATGTATTACAGCTGTTTTTTCAGTGGATATGGCAGACAAGGGATCCAAGCTGTAATCAGTGTATTTATCTTCAATAAGAAAGTTATTGTGGTTCTTCTGATAAACAGCAGAATAAAGGAATTGTTGACACCACCATTTCAGCAAAAATGATTACATTTATATTAGAAATGGGTATTCACAGTATTATGCTTATTAGGCATTTTCTCTTTTAGATGTATTTTATAATATGAAAAACTATTCTCTCAAACTAGTAATGCATAGGACAAGGTTTTGTTAACCCAGATATTTCATTTCCTGCCATTATCTGATCTGTCGTATGTTGTGATCATGCAAGTTATATACTTCATTAAGTTCTCAATTATCTGTTGATTAATGTATGGAAATTTTAAGCAATATCCCAATATCACGATAGAAAAATGTCTGCTTCTACAACAGTTTGTAGTGTTCCCCACCTGAATCTCCTTCCCAGATCTTTCCTGTTACTGGTGCAAATTTGAAGGGCATTAATATAAAACAGGGTGGATAAAAATCAATCCTTTTAAAAAATGGATTTTTTAAAATTTAAATCGGATTTTTTTAATATAAATTTTTATTGGTTTTTAAAAACAAACATAAAAACATAAAAACATAAAAACATCAAGCCATCTTCCATATGTGTACATACAGTGTGCTGGTTGGTTTACAAATTGTTTTGTGCTTCCATTTCGTAGTCTTCAGCTACAATTACATTGCATATAATCTCGTATTTTCAATCAAAAATTAAATACCTTAGTATCATTATTAATCAATCATTTGACTATACTTTTAATCATTCATGTTTTACAAGATAATCATAATTTACTTAGTTTGTTTTATAATAGTTCATATTATCATCCCAAATCTATCCTAAAATCATTTTGTAGATATAATAAGAAAGAAGTACATCTTTATATATTTATTATTTTCTAAGAGTCTACATATTTCATTACTGTATTTTATTGTCTAACCATTGATAGAATAGATCCCAATTTTTTTTTGTAAATTTTATTTGAGTTTTCACAAAGAGAAAAAAAATACAAATAAAACATCTTTTTTGAAAGTAGCGTAATCCCGGGTTACATTTCTTTGTACAGACACAAATTCAGGTTCATGCTCATTTTTATATTCTATTCCATATCTTATTACTATTTTACATTTTCTGCATAGCTTCTCCCCTCTTTTAATTTTCTCAATTTTATTTTAATTATCTCATCTCAATTCAAATCATTGTATTTATATTTTTTGTCTGTCCTGTTTCAATTATCTATTATCTTTTCTCATTAAACAAAATTTCTCCTGTAGTTACTGATTGGAGTATGACGCCTTTATATCTTTTCCCTAAAGTTGTAACATTCAATATAATACATAACTTCCATTCGGATTCTGCTTGGTACATTCTTAAAATACACACTGTATTCTTAAAAAAAGAAAAAAATTATAAATGTATATAATTAAAACAACATTCCATTCCAATTCAATTCTATCATTAATATTAATATTCATTAAAGTCTTAAGATCTTTAACATTACTTTTCAATTAAATATCATACTTCTATGGGAACAATTATAAGCTTTCCATAGTTAATTCCCCCCCTTCCTCACTTATATTTTATAAAACATTAACTAATTAAAATGTTCCCGTTCCTTCCTAATTCAATTTTCTCATTTATTTTATTTCACTTATTTTATTCACAAAGATTTCACTAAATTACACTAACTATTTTATCCCTCATTTTAATCATACGTTGTTTCCAATTTTCTAAAGTTATTTCTATTACTAATATAACAATACAATCTTATGTACCTTTACAGAATCCCTTTTTCAGTTAGATTTTCACCCATTATCTCTAAATAGGTCCTGTTTCTCTATATCTTGCTCCGGTCCTTTGTAACTTCTTTTCCTTTCCCTCTTCCCTCTCCCCTTTTTACCCCCTTGTCTCTCTACCTCTATTTCTCTCTTCTATATTCCCCTTTTCTGTTGCTTTCCAGTATTATACTTATTTTTCGAATTATTTTTCTTTTCTTTGGTTGTTTTTTTAAGTCTTAAATTCTCCATTCTCTTTCCCCCCTTTCCTTTTTCTTCCCCACATAGAATTACTTGTTCATTAAAGATGGCTTCTTCTTTGTCCCAGTCTTCTTGTTCTGAAGTCTTTTCTTGTTGTTTCTCATAGTTCCAAATCTCCATTTCTAAGAATTGAAAAACGAAGCCAAAAGAACCCTTCCCTTCTTGTGCATCTTCTTTGTACTTTTTAAGTTCCATTTTCAATTCATCCAGAAGTGGTGCCATTGTATAAATTTTTAAACAACCACCCGATTGATTTTAGTCATTCAAATATAATAACCAAGAATCCAAAGATCACCAAATAATCCAAATACACGCAAGCTCTTTCTTTTTTGCTTTTTTTTTCACTTTCTCTTCCTGGGGTTACTATTTAGTTGCAAAGTTTCAGTTAAAATGTATCTTTTAGAAGTCTTGTTGAAGTTTTACTTAGATTCTTTTTAATTCCAGGCAGTCTCCTTCTGCTTCCAGATCCTGCCCTTATTCTTTTTCTCTCCCTTCCTGCTTATGAAAAAGAATTTTTTTAATGTCCAGAAATCTTTATTATCCCTTTGGCATTTTGTTTTATTTTCAGCTTAATTGCCTATTGATGTCAAAGCGGATTTTTCCGATTTCTTATTTAAGTCTCTTAGTTGTCAGTATAGGGAAGGAGAGAGAAGGAAAAAAAAGCCAAACCTTTCCCTTTTCACTTTCCTTTGCTGCTTCCGACTCTTCTTTGGGAGCGATGTTACTTTTTTGTAAGTTTAAATTCCAGGGTACCTTGGTTGTTGCTTTTACAATTTAACCCGGTCAGCCAAAACTTTCACTTCTTATCTTCCTCCTGCACATTCTTTTCCGGTCGAGTTCTTCTTTGTGGTGGCCATTTCTGACCACCACTGCAACCGCCTTCAGGAAAGGGAGTAATGGCCAGCTGAGGAGGAGAGATGCGGCTCTCCTCGACCCTCCTGGCGGTCTCCCCCCTCTTCATCACCTCTACGGGGTGGCTTAGCCCCGAAACCAGCCGGCTCGGGGCACTCCAGCGGCGAACCCAGACAGAAACCGTGCACGATCACGGATTTCTTTCTGTCGCCGAACCCTTTCAAACCGGAAGTCCGAATATATCCCAAATTTTATAAAATTGTTTATCCTCTTGTTCTCTAATTTCAAATGTCAATCTACTCATTTCAGCACATTCCAATATTTTATTAATGATTTCCTCCTGTGATGGTATTTTCTCATTTTTCCAGTTTTTAGCAAATACAACCCTAGCCTCTGTTAATACATTTACAATCAGGTATTTCAAGTCTTTACTATATATTTCAGGCAAAATTCCCAATAAAAATATCTCTGGTTTCAAGTCTATATGTTTTTTTGTCATTTTTTCCAACCACATGTGGATTTTAGTCCAGTATTTTTTAGCATCCGCACAAGTCCACCACATATGGTAATATGAGCCGGGTGTCTGATGACATTTCCAACATTTTTCGGATTTTTTTATTTAAATGAAATTTATTTTAATAAAATACTTTTGGAGTAAAAATCTATCTAAAGATATTAGGGTGGCCCGTTTTCAGGCTGGTTTTTTTTTTTTTTTTGGCTGTTATCAGCCTGGTTTTGGGGCTGTTTTGGGCCTGTTTCCTAGCCCATTTTCGGCCTGTTTTAGACCTGGTTTTCAGCCTGTTTAGGAACTTTTTTGTGCTGTTTTGGGCCAGTTTTTCAGCTGTTTTGGGCCTGCTTTTTGGCTCTTTTTGGCCTGTTTTTGAGGCCATTTTGGCCCATTTTTCAACCCATTTTCGGCCTGTTTTGGGCCAGTAGAGTGCTGCAGGAGGCCATGGAGGGTGAAAATGAGATGGTGGGGCACACGCGGCCTGTTTTAGCTGCCAGAGGCATTCTGGTCATTCCTTTCATATTTCCAGGCCAGCCCCATGGGCCAGATTTAAGCACCCCTGTCCTAATCTATCCAATTGGGGAGTTTTTAGATATTCTTCAAGGAAGGCAATTGTCTTCAGCTGGAGCAAAGAAGGAATATTTTGTGTTGACTGAGTTAAAGGTTAAGGTACTTTATTGGACATGTTTTATTTTCCTCTTTCCTTTCTCCTGTCTATTTTCAATTGCTACAGCTTGAGGAGAGAAACCTCATAACCAAGCATTTTCACAATGGAAAAAAAGCTAAGAGATTTGCTTGGGACTCAGAGAGTTCTACTTATATCCATAGAAGGGATTTTTGGATCTTCCTGTCTAAAGGCCAGAAAATTGTCATACAAAGTCACCAAAGTTTACTAGAAATGGAAGCATACAGGAAAAATAAGGCAACCCCCCCCCCCCCCGCCCCCACAAAGCCTGTTAAAACTAGTCACATTACCTCCATGAATAAGTTGTTGGGTTTCAGCAAGTTTTGAGAGTTTCTCATACAGAAGTCACCTCTGACTGTTACTTGTCACCTAGTTCATTAGCATTTAAGACCTATAATTGTACTTCAAAAGATGTATAATGGGTATATTACTTTTATAAATCTCGGAAATAAGGAATTTATTCCCTATATTTATTGGCATACTGTGATCACATTTTCTGGCAATATTGGATTAAAGTGTAACTTAGGGTAGATCAGAAAATACTGTGAGGGTTGAATACAGTCTTTTTTCTTTATGTGCAGATGGCAAAGGAGCAGAAAAGATTGACGTTATAGGACTTTTGACTGGACTGATTATAATTGGAGTGCTATTGGTTATACTTGGATTGCTTATTTATTATCTGTGCCAAAGAAAATGCAAACCAAGATTACCAGGGTAAGAAAATAAATGTTATAGTTACCAATATTATTTTCAGTGTTGATAACAGCATTAAACATATTAGGACATAATTTGTATTTATGTTTACATTTGCCAGTTATATCCTGCATAGATTTATGCTGTATGTACCTGATAACTTTTGGAGAATTGGTGAGCTGACAGAGGTTTGAAGAACAAATATAGTTACAATATTCAAAAAGGTGAAAATGATTGACCCGGGAAATTACAGCTAGTTTAATGTCTCTGATGAGCAATCTATAATAGAACAGATTGTCAACACCATGATGCCAAGAATGCTACTGTTACCTGGAGTCTGCATGAATTTGTCAGGAGCAAGTTAAATTCGTCTTAGGTTTTTTTAATGACAAAGTGACTAGTTTGGTAGATGAAAAGAATGTTGTGGGTGTAGTATATCATATTGTTAGGATACTGGGCAGATAAATATGGACTGGACCAGGGGTGTCAAACTCATGACCCGCAGGCTGGATACGTCATATGCTGTCCACCCCCACCCCCCACCCCGGTTTAGCAAAGGAGGGAAAAGTCACAATATGTCATGTGATGCCACAAGTTTAACACCCCTGGAGTAGACAGTAATAGGATCTGAACCATTTGCAACTATCTGAAGAAGTACACCCAAAGAATGCCCCTTAAATGATTCTTTGTCTTCCTGGAAAGAAATATTGATATCCTGGTGCTGTACTCATGGCCCACGTCTTCATAAATGACTTTGAATATATGGAGATGAAATGTATACATATTAAATTTGTAGAAGAAAAAAACAGGAGTCATCTACAACATACAGTGTAATGATTGCAACAGCCACTATGTATGCCAAACAGGCAGAAGACTGGCAGAACGCATCCATGAATACCAAGTAGCAGTCAGAAGACATGATGAAAACTCTTTAATTTCACAACACATGAACAGGCTTAACCATAGTTTCAATTGGGAAACTGACTATCCTAGACCAAAACATATTCAAAATGCTAAGGTATAGACGTAAATAATATTTATATACTATGCAAAAGAGACAATCAGCAAACCAAAAAGGGGAACAAAAAGACCAAAACACCTCCCCACCTGCAATCAGCCCCTAGATTGAGTATAGATTAACTCCAAGATTAACATCAGACTAACAATCAAGAAAACAATACCCCAATGAAGGAACTGCTAACAAGTCAACAGTAAACAATCAAACCAAAGAATCTCCAAGGCCACTTCCACCAACATTTGACAGGGCAATCCATTAGAACAGTTGTCCCCAACCTTTTTTGTACCAGGGACCAGTTTCAAGCAGAAACACTTTTTCAAGGACCGGCGGGGGGGAGAGAGAGATTCTATTTTCCATTCCCAAAACTTTATGTTTACCCTACAACTAGCATTAAAGACACCTGACTGCAGTCTCTCTAGTTCTAGGTCTTGCCCAGCTGTGTAGCTACAAAATTTCATGCAGATGTTCTCTTATCTCTGTTTGGTAAAAACAGGAATTGAATGAGCATTTAGTCAGTGTGTTTTCCCTAGGAAGCTCCTGTAGTCCTTGTTTAGGGATCATTCAGAGCTACGATGGACCTCTAACATCCAGCCCAGGAAGAAACTGCTTCAAAGAAGCCGGGGGGGTGGTGGCTTTTCCTGTCGCCGCACCTCCTCCGAAGCGCCCGTTCACCCCCACCCTGCCCGCCCGCGGTTCAATCCAGTGCTCCGTTCTGCCTGCCTGCCTGCCTTCGTTTCTGGTTGTTTGGGAGCAGCTTCAGCTGAGAATAATAACTATTCGCCTCTTTTTATCAGCTGAAGCTGCTCCCAAACAACCAGAAACGAAGGCAGGCAGGCAGGCAGAACGGAGCACTGGATTGAACCGCGCGTGGGTGGGCGGGGTGGGGGTGAACGGGCGCTTCGGGGAAGCTGCACCGACAGGAAAAGCCACCCTGCCGGCTCCTTTGAAGCAGTTTCTTCCTGGGCTGGTGGAGGAGCGAGAGAGCGACTGAGAGAGGAACGAGGCGGGAGGAAACCGAAGCCGCTGAGCTGGAGAGCAGGACAGGCTTTGGTTGCTTCCTCCCTCCCCTTCTTTCATTTGTGTCCTTGATCCCTGATCCCAGCAGCATTCACCGAAGGCGAAGAAAGCCGCCATTTTTTTAAAAAATTTTTTCTTTGCGGCCCGGTACAGAGTGCTCCACGGCCCGGTACCGGTCCGCGGCCCGGTGGTTGGGGACCCCTGCATTAGAATATACACTGAGAGCAAACCCCACTCTTACTAGCATTGATGATGTTACCTATTTTGAGTAATGAAATGTCTGCAAGCAAATAACAAAGCTCAGAGCACCCCCTCACAAATAAGATTTAAGTATTTAAGAGAACTTGTGGTCCATTAATAATTAGGAATTGAAGGATAGGATTAATATGGATAATAAAAAGGAAGTTAGAAAATGGTATTATACTTAGTCCAAATGTTGGTTTATGTAATTCAATGTAATTCAACTCTACAATTCTCCAGGGTTTCTTTTTGGATTATTTTTAGCCCTAGCTCGATGTGGCAGGTCTTAATCTGTGACTTTTTCTTATGTATTCATAAAATCTATTTCTGAGTCATAATGCTTTTCAGAAATCTTGAAATTATGTGATATTTTTGTAAAGATTAAATAATATATTAAAACTTCTATATTTGTATAGATGTTTATTTGAATATTGTAATGTGAGTAGCGAAAATTAACAATTCATATTTTCTGGCAGTAAGGGAGCTGGTGTTCCAAAGCTGAAAATAAAATGGTGTATCATTTTTTTAATAACACATGCATTACAGTATACATCTTGTCACATCAGTTGTCTTCCAAAGAAGTGAGAACGCTTATCCTTAGTGTGATTGGTTTGTAAAGCATATCTAGAATAGGATTATTCCTAGAATATTGATAGTTTTAGAATGTACTTCAAACAAGTTGTATTTATGATTAATTGCTGAGGTCATCCCTTAACATGTTCTTTGGTAACAAAATATTGTGGAAGAGAGCTTTAATCCTTGCAAATAGTTTTAACTTGATAGCCTATGAAGGTATGATACAGCTTCTTAAAAATTGGATGAGTGGTTATTGAGCAACAACATAGCATGACTGCTCACCAATAATATTTTCAATAAAAAGGAATACTTGAATGTTATTTGTTTGTAATTAATCCTTTGAATCAACCATAGCAAGCTCTAAAAATCATGACATGCAGTATAAATAAAACTCTCTTCTCAGCTTCTGTGTAAGATTACCTTTTCAAATTGTTACAAGGTGTGCAAGATATGCACATCTCACAATTCTCTGTAATTGTGAATTCCGAGTAATAACTTCAGCAGCCTTCAGTAGTCTTTGATAATAGATCTTAATTCTTTTTATAAAAGTAGCATTTCACTTTATCCTTTTAAGAATCACCAGTAATGATGGCAGAAATTTACTTCTTTTATAATTGTAATTTGGCTTCTTAAAATAGCAGACGACAATTTCTGTCTCCAAATACTATGTGATCTTGTGGTCTGAAAAGAGATATGACAATAACTCGTTGCCCATATCCATTAGCCTGCGTCATTTTGAAATGTCTATTTTAAAAAATGTTTTCTGTATAACTACTTTGTTTTCATGCTTATCCTTTCTGTTCATTATGCATAGAATAAATAAGTACCCAATAGTTATTTGTAAGGATATGTTAAACATCATATTTGCATCACGTGCAAGTAGAAATAGAGTGTAACTATTTAATTGTCTGTGTTTTGTCCTAAATTCCAGCTGATTTTGTTATTTCCCCTAGAAAGATTCACATTGTTGTAACAAGATATCATTTCTTCAGAACTTTGAGTTAAAAATGTCATGTGAAAAGATAGTGAAATTAATGTTTAATTCAACTTAATCTCTACTTTGAGCTAATGTATAAATGTATAAAATACAATAAATTTCCTATTAGCATTATTTTATTTTCAAATGCAATGTCTTTTTTCCCATTAACCCAAGAATATGTGAGTATATATATAATTATCCTGTATTACCTACAAGCAGTGTTATATTTCACGAATGATGGCAAATATATGTCTCCCAGGATAATCTGGATCAGTCACCTCTGGTCCCAGTGACTGACCCAGATTGGATCCTTCAGTGTTATATTTCTCAATAAGTTTCTGGACTATTTTGTCAATTATCAGATTTGTTATTCTCATCTCCCACATGTAAGCTACTTGATAAGTCACTGCATTGTAACCATACCCTAACCACCAGAAAGGAGAAATAATCAGTGAAAGCAGATAGTTTTTGTTGATCAAAAGAAAACAAAATATGAAATAAACCTGAAATAGAAATATTTGAAAGCTTCTGAAAATTGAGTTTAGACATTAGAGCAGTATAGTGTGTACTTATGACAAAGCGGACCCTGAATTTGTGGGAAAATGCTAGAAAGGTGTGTACTTATGAGAAGGTGATGCTCTTAAATGGTGATGCTCTTAAATTAGCTTTGTGAATCTGTTTTCAAACTATGTTCAAGTTGTCCATGTTCAAAAGTTTTACTGAATGACTTTGGACAAGTCATTTTCAATTTAACCTACTTCAGAAGGATTCTTCTGGGATTAAAATGAAGGCAATCCCCATTTTTGGATGCCTTAAGCTCTGGCAGAAAATAAACCACAGGTCTTTAGGTTGCATGAACCTGGAAACAAAATCATGTTTTTGAAAATTTTATTTTCATTTAATGGTAATGGTAATTAAAGACAATAATTATGAACAGGGATCTTTTACAAACCCATTTCAATAAAAACATTCCATTGTCCCATATTCAATATAAAATTGTTTCAAAAAACTTAACAGTACACTCCAAATGCCCAGAATAGTTAATTTTTATCATAAAATCCTACTGCCATTAAAACCTCTGATGGATTTATAAATAATTTATGGAACTTGACCGTTTAACAGCAAAAATGGCCTTGACTTGGAGATTAATGTCTACTTGCTTCTGTGTTTTCTGTTCCAGAAGCCTCTTGGAAATCTTGCTAACTATTAAAAGTACATAGAAACCACTAACATGAATTTTTATGTTAGAATGAAACATGAAATTTTAACAAACTTTTGGTTCATAGTATCCATAACCAAACTAGGATTATAATTGTGGCTTATCTGAAAATGAGACATTTCCTGGTTCATTTGCTTCTGCTGCTATTTGGCAAGGCTAACAAATCTGGTGATATCATCCATGCTTTTTGTTTAGTATTACACATCAATCAGGAATTTGGGCTTGCTTTTCTTGGAATAAGTATTCATAAGCATTTTTCCCTTGGTTTGTGCTCAGATTTGTATTCAGAGGTTACCATTGTTGCAATTTAACAAATCACGGATTAACTTTGTTTTTTCCATCAGAAGACGTTAAGGGAAGTAGAGGGTTGCCTGATCCAAGACATTTTTTCAGAGTATTGATTCACTATATTTGTGACTCTGATTTCATAGGAAGGATACTTCATCTCTCTCAAAAAAAATTATGAATCTCTTTCAAATTATGATTCCATGGTGTATCACAGAATCTAAAGAATGAATATACAAAGGGAAATATTGGGAAGCTGGAGTTTTTTAAGAAAAAAACCTTTACCTTTCTAAAAGTAGACAATTACCTTTCCCAATGTGACTTCTTTTAGATGTATTGGGATTAATGTTTTCAAAATTCCCATCCTGGAAGATGTTTAGTAAGGTTGTATTAACTAACTTCTAAACTAGGAAGCTGAAAATATTGTTAGCAGTTTCAATTGATTAATTAGCTTGACTTTTGATTATCCTTATTCATCAAAGATGTTTTTTTTTAAATTCTAGGTGCAGAGGCTGCAGGAGCAATAATTCTTCCATCGTCTTCCAAAGACAAGAAGAGGTTTCTTTAAATCCTGTCCCTCCTTGTACTATAGGACAGATAGGATTGCCAACCTATGATCAAGCAATGGCATTAAGAGAAAATTATGATTCTCCACCCCCACCATATCCTGGACATTCAGGAAAGCTCAAAGTATTCAAAAAGTCTCTCTCTCTTCCGGGTCCTTAATGAACAAACATGATCTATGAAACTGTTGAGAATTAGTCTTAATAAACGATGCGCAGCTGAAGTGCTATAGTATAGCATTCTAAGACAGTGAAAAGAATCTCTGAAGATGCCTGTCTATGATGGACTAAAGGGTGACAGGTAAACAAGGAACCCATTTCTCCAATGTTCTGATAATTCTGAAAGACTCATTGTGATATTTCCATTTGTGTGTGAAAATCTATACTCATCTTAGCTCCTATGCATTTTGAGCCATTGAGTAAACTGATGTGCAGTTTTTCCTGTTTCTTATAACTGAAGAGTTTTATTTCCAATTCTAAAAATTACATTAGTTTTCTAGCATATTTTTCTTTTGAATTTTTCCCATAAAAATGTGTTTGGGTCAGTTTTTAACTCCTAGTGGCTACTTGGTCTAGTCTCTACAGCAGTGATGGCTCACCTTTTTGTCGTTACGCGCCAAAAGTGCTCACTCGTGCCTGCACACATAATGCAATGCTCACACTGACCCCCCTGCCTCTGTCCCCTACGCATGCACACGTGACCTCCCACATGCGTACTGTACGCCTCTGCGCATGTGTAAGTGACCTCCCACCGCACCTCTGCACATGTCTTCCCCTACGCATGTGCAGCAGATACCAGACAATCAGCTGGCTGGTGGAGGGAGCGCACATGCGCAGTGGATCTGTTCCGGGCGACGGCTCATGTGCCGGCAGAAATGGCTCCGCGTGCCATAGGTCCGCCATCACAGCCCTAGAGTATGTTGGCAATAATGTTGGCAGAAATACTTTTCCAATGCTGCCTTTCTAGGGCTAAGAGAAAGTTAGTAGCCCTATCCCTATTTCACCTTTGTGCCTAGGGCAGGATAAGAACTTAAGTTTCTAGCCCAATGCCTTAATCACTACACCAAACTGGCTCTCCTATGATAAAAATGTTAACACATTAAAATTTCAGTTATCTAATTGAATATTTTATGTTTCTTATACTAGGAAGAATATATCCATATGGGTGTTATCAATACGTTTTTTTATAAATAAAATATTTGTACCTAGTTCTAGTTTCTTTGTTAATGCCAATTAAATAGTGAATCTGAAAATGTCTGATATCTGAAAAACTTGCCTTGCTTTAAGTCAAAGATCAGTTTAGATGTTAAAACAGACTTTCACGAGGAGCTCACAAAGACATGCAATTACTACTCATTATTTATTTGAAGGGCAATATGGTTGCAAGGTGAAGTGGGTCACAGCAAACAAAAGTGCATCTGGATTTTCAGAGGGGAAAGGTTTTTTAAAAATAAAGCTATACTTATTTCAAGGCAGTATTAGCCAGTATTAGCAACTAGATTCCCATAGCAATCTGTTCCCAACCTGGTTCTTTAAATTTTCCAAAGGTGATTGTGACAACTATTTTTGCTTCTTACCTAAGAATGACAGAAAAGTGTCTTCAATTTTCAGCCCACATGAAAGAATTCTAAAGAAAGTTTGACACTGTTGTCCACCTTTGTCAAAATAATGAAACACAAGATAGTTTAATCTATTTCCTCTGCACAATTCATAATGGCAATGTTGTAATCCTCTCCCTATCTGCTGAATGAGAAAAGTCTGTGTCTTCCTTTTCAAATGAATAAAACTTCCCAATTCAAACTTCTGTATTTGAAAGTAGGTCCCTGTGTGCCAGAGTAAGTACTACAAACTTCCCTCAGCTGTTAATCTCAAACTTCTTTTAACTGCATTTCCTACTATCCCCAGCTGCTCTCTAGGCACCAGCACAAAAGTTGGAAGTCAGTAGTAGTACTTCTGTGCTAAAAAGATGCATCTTATTTTTTTCAGCATTCATTTTTACATTATCTTGTTACTACTTATAATTCTCAAACAAATACAAAAAATGTTCATTCAGCAGATAGGGAGAGGATTCTAACTTACAAACACTGGAAGCAATTTAAAACACAATTTATAAAGTTCCATTGTTCAGGTATTTTACTTCATGTATTCTGAAATAGTAAATATATATGTAAAGAAAATTTTCCACACCTTTCTTTTGAACTTTCAGCAAGTGTCCCCACTACCTTGGGGAAACTACTTTGCCTGGATTTTCTATCATGTACAGATATACCTAATAAAGAAGACACCAAGAATTCAAATCACATTTCTAGTGGGTAGATGCAAGAAATTTAAGACATTCAATGTTAAATTTAAAGCACGCATAAATAGGCAAAAATTGAAAATGTGTCGTTTTAAGCAGACAAGCTACCTGATCCCGAAACCATTTCACGCGTTATTTTGTTAGCCTTTTGTTAGAACAACGTTTTATAACACGCGGAGGCGTAAAGCAACCATCTACAAATCCCAGCAAAGTTTTTCATATACAGGCGTTGCAGAGATGGAAACCGCGGGAATAGAGAAGGCATTCTTGCCGCCGCCGCTTCATTTCGCCAGCGCGGGAACAAAGTGAGTCGGAGCAATCCCTTCGCGTTCCCGCTCGGCGCCCTCTTCTTTTCTCGGGCTGCAATTCCAGCATACCGGCCACAGCAGGAAGAGCAGCGGCGGCGAGCGTCGTTTCTCGTGTCCTGAAGCCGATCGGGCCTCAGTCAATTGCAGCAGGGTGGGAGGGGCAGCCTGGGAAAGCCACAGCCCGACATGGGTCTTCGGCAAGGCAGTTCGCAGCCCTCGCTGCCAACTTGGCCGCAGCGCGCCGCAGCTCTCCAGGCTCCAAGCCGCTCTCCCGCCTCTCGCAGCGGAAATTGAGGGGAGGACCGGGTGGGGGGGTGGCCGCCGCCACAGCTGCCCTCCTCCTGCGAGCGGGAAGGGGGAGTTGTCCCACTCTACTCGGTCCGTTCAGCCGACACCCCCCCCCCACTCCGCCCCGGCTGGCCGCTCCTTTACGCGCCAGGCCCCGAGCGCAGCCCGGCGTCCCCTCCTTTCCCACTCGTATGATGGACAGGAACTACCCACCAGCCCCTAGCTACCCTGATCCATTGAGTTCGGCCGCCGCTGCAACGTCTTCGCAACCCGCTACCGTCTGGGCCTATGAACGGGGCGTCAGCAGCCTCAAGCCCAGGTAAGGAGGGTCTCTGCCTCGCCAGCCCGGGGGTGGGGTGCGGTGCGGTGCGTCAGGAAAGGCCGGGGATTGAGACGAGGCCTGCCGTCCCTCGCGCGCCCGCGGGACCTGCTCGCGGCGCTTTCGCCTCCTCCCAGGCTGGGCGGTTTCCTTGATCCGTGGCGTGGCGTGGCGTGGCGTGGGACAGAGAAGAGAGGTCTCCGGGAGAATAGAGAGGGCGCGTCTCCGGGGTTGGGGCCGCCAGTAGGGGAGCGCTCACGGGGTCCCCATTTGCTCGGAGCTCAAGCGAGGATTTTAGAGGGGCGTAGCAAGATAGACCTGCGCGTGGAGGGAGTTTTAGGGACAAAGCAGGAGGCGTTGCGTGGTGCGACCGAGGAAAGACGCTGGAAATTCGTGGCTGCCGTGGAACCCCGAGACCCGCTTTTCCACTCTTCCCCACCATCACACACACGCTCTTTCGGTCTGGAAAAGCGTGCGGTCTCCCCCCCCTCCCCACGCCCACCCGGGGAAAGAGTTCAGCCTGACAGAAGCCCCCCTTTCCCCTCCTCCCATTTCCAGGGTGTCCTCGCCACTGCAAATGCAGAGGGATGAGGGAAAGCTCTTGGCCTCCTCCTCCTCTTGCTTCCAAGGTGCTTGTGGGGCAGGCCGTTCAGGTTCAAGAGTTCATGTTTACTTCCTGCGTTGCCTAGGGAAGGTATTTTTGAGGTCTCTGGGAAAAACAGGGAAACCTAAGTACACCCCCCTTCAATGTATTAATACAGCGTAGTAATGGAGAACAGCCCCTTAAAGAAGTCTTTAAGAAAGGTGTGGCTCCGTTGATTAACTGAAGATTTAGAGCATATAAAACAAGGGTAAGATGGGCCTTCCCTTTGAAAATAGAATTTTGCTAGGCTATAAGGTAGTAGCCAGGGATGGGGATTGCTAATTTGGGGGGATTTCATCTGAAACCACCAGAGACTGGTTTGAGTTCACCGTTACTGATTCCCAATACGTTTTCAGTCTTATTTTGCCAGTTTGTACTTTTCCCTCCTTCTTTATAGGTAGAGGTTCTGAAGCCTACACTTTAAAAAATTGATTCATGCTGAAACTTGCTTAAGAATATTCGCCTCCCAGGGCTAGGACACAAACACAAAGAATACTTGATGGGATACTTTCCAAGGATATTTTATCAGATAGAATAGCAATTGGCTTTCTCATATTGGAGACATGAAGTAAAAAAAAATTAAAACTATGAAATTAATTTTAATATAGATGTAATAACATGTTTAAAGAACAATCTGTGTTGTTTCTTAAGAGATGTTACACATGTTTACCAGTGATTTATAAGGAACTTGTCATTTATTTGGGCTTTAATGTGTGCAGTGAGTATAAAATAACAACAAAAATACAATAAATCTTTAAGCCTGTAGGTGAGCAAAAATTAAATTAGCTTTGGTTTCTTCAGTTATTCTCTGATGGCTTGTATGCTCTGTATATTCTTTCTTCCTGTTCTGCAGCTATGTCACTTCTGAGAAGACTTGTTTTGTAGTTTAACTTAACAAAATGTAGCAAAATATAAATAGCCCAAAGCAAAAAAACCACATTTCACTGAAGGAGTAGGCAGTTGTGCAGGTAGTCCAGTGGTTAGTCCATCAGGGTAGAAACTAATAAAACTGAGTTTTCATTCCACCTTAGGTATGAAAGCCAACTGGGGGACCTTTGGCCAATTACTTTCTCTTAGACTAACCTACCTCACAGACTTGTAGAGAAAATAGGAGGAAGGAGGAGAATTGTGTGTGTATGCTCCATTGAGTTTTTAATAAAAGTAATAAAGGCAGGATTCAAAAAAAATATGAAGTACAAAAAGGTTCACCTGCAAGGTGAGAAGGTGGAGGAGAAAGCTGTCCAAAGCAATGAGGAAAACATTTTTAAAAGGGGGGAATGATTTCTTAAGTTGATTATACAGTATCTGTTCATTTCTTCTGGGGAGGAACCAGTCAGTTCCCGACTAAACAGTCAAGATTTGATTCTAATGTGAAGATTAGTGGGAAAGATGACTCAGAATATCTGGAAGAAATCTCACTCATCAGCTTCCCTCAATCCTAGATTTTATTAACTTTTCCTTATATAGTTTTATTGCAGTAAACTGATCTATAGTGAGCTCTTTTAATATTTCAGAATGTATCATTCAGGTTATTCAAGAAAATAGTTTATAGATATTGATTATTAGCCCATGTTAGAGACCACTTAAGCCTCAACTGTTGCCTTAAAACCTGCCTTTGCCCACAGCCCACCCTCAGAAACGCTATAAAAGCAAATTTTAATTCTAATTCATTCCATATGCACATAATGATTTCAGAAAGTCCCTTAATTGAAGAATATGTAGAAGTATCATGCACAAACTTGAAGCTGCTCTCATTATTTTGATACAATAGCTCTTCTATGCTGGTTGATGAGTTTAGAAAGTCACACACGAGGAGAAGGCAGTGTAATAACTTGTTTCAAGTTTCCCATCTGATAACAGGGGGAGCAGGGCTGTCATAGCAAATAAAGCAATTAATGACTTAATAATTTGCGTTTATACACTACATGTATTTAGCCAGAATGCCATATGAACAGAAGGACATCGTTTTCTACATCGCCTCTCCCTTGAGAAACCAATATTTAAATGACATGTATTTCTACATACCTTGAATATTTTCCCATGTATCAGAAAGCCTTGTCTCTTGCTGATTGTCCTGTTTTGCTTCCAAACCAATAGCCCATTTTACAATTGTAAGGAACAAGAAAAAAATTGGGAAGAATAGTATACAACAGCTTGTATACAAAATTATAGCATTTTCTTTGTATAAGGTGGGATGAGGGTGGAAGAGTTTTGTTTTATGAAGCTTTATCCCTAATAAACTGATGCTGAAAATAGTAGGTTTACATTAACAATTTGTTGCTATCAAGAGGATTGTTTGGGAGAATTGTATAAAATGTATCACAGACTCTAGTTGTTATGTTTTAGTGGATTTGGGTTACTTTCCTGTAGTTTCTGTTTTCCATATATGTTTCAACTTCAGCTTATTCTAAAAATATATATCTCAATTGCAATCTGTTGTAGAATTAAATCAGGAGTGGATGACATATCATTCTCCTTATGTTGTTTCCAGCTCCTATCAGTCTTAGCCAGTATGACTAAGGCACATATCCACAACCAAGTTGTGACACATTCTGGCTTTACACACTGTGCTAAATTAAAACCAAGCCACATTGTGGCTGATTTAAAAAAACAGTCTTTAGATAATTTGTGGAAGCAGCAACCATCTACCCAATTTTATTTCTTTTGCACATATTCTTCCCTTAGGTTGAAAATAATGCTGGCCATAGAAGACAGTGATTTAGTCAACTGTTATAGGGCACCAGCAAATAGACCTCTCAACAGTTTTCCAGAAAGTAAAATGAATGTCTTTATTATTTTAGGCCTTCTGTGGTCCTATCTTTTTATTAGTTTTGTGGCCATTTTCTGGTTAAAACTTAAACCAAAAAAGTAAAAAAAAAATGTGATTCAGAAAGTTCCATAGTTTTATAGCTATTCATATATTGTTTGTTTAATGATCCAGGTTACATTTAATTTGACAGTTGACTCCCTGAGGCCATTCCTAGAAGAAAATAGAAGCTGCAACAAATTGTTTCAGTGTATCGGTAAGAAAGTTCAGCTAGTCACTCAAGCCCTCTTCAGTGGGCTATTCCATATGTTCAACCCATGTTCCTTTTTTATTTTTCTATCTCACGCTCCATATTGCATGAGGTCAGGCTTAAGTCTTTTTTTAAAAAAAAAACAAATTTTATTAATTTTCAAAGACAATACACAAACAAACAAAACATAAAACGTAAGAACATAAAACATCTTTTCTAACAACTGCTTATTAAGTTTTAACAAAACAAATAAAACATCTTGTTTAAGTACAGCATAGTTCCAAATTATCACATTTCCATACAAACACAATTTAATATGCATCTTATGTATTCAACTTCATATCTTATTACTCTTTTTCCAACTTCTCACTATTTTTCCCTTTACTTCTATTCAATTTTATTCATTAAACTTATACTTTCATCTGTCTTATTTACGATTTCATATGTTCTCATCCAACATTCTTAATTCTCAATAAACAAACATAAACAAACAAAACACGTAACATGAAAACATAAAACTTCTTTTTAGAAAGCGGCTTAACCCCGGGTTACATCTTTTTGTACAGACATAAATCAAATTCATGCTCACCTTATATACTATTCCATATCTTATTTAACATTCTATATTTTCTATATGTCTTCTCCCCTCTTTTCACTCTCTTAATTCTATTTTGTTTACTTCATCTCAATTTAAATAATTATACTTGTATCTTTTGGCTTAAGTCTTATTAAGCTATTTTGTATTTTAAGAGAGAGGGGGCTTAGGACTGTTGTTAAAAAGAATTCTAAGCCCCCTCCCTCTTAAAATACACCAAGGCTGTTATCTCTTGTTCCTTCCTGTCCTTTAGCTCCATCCAGCACTTTAGTTTCCTGTTTGAGATGAATGATCTTGTGGACTTATTTGGTTGCTCATCTGCTTAAGTGTTAATGATTGAATATAGATACCGTTCTGGGCATTCAACATACAGTATTAAGTATGGTCAATGCAATCAGAATGATAGTATAGGTAATCCTCAACTTACAACCACAATTGAGTCCAAAATTTCAGTTGCAAAGCAGGGCAGTTGCTAAGAGAGTTTTGCCCCATGTTATGACCTTTCTTGCCACATTTATTAAGTGAATCATTGCAGTTGTTAAATTAGTAATATGTTGTTAAGTGAATCTGGCTTCCTCATTGATTTGCTTGTCAGAAAGTCACAAAAGATAGATCTCATGACCCAAGGATACCACAACCATCATAAATATGAGCCACTTGCCATGTGTTTGAATTTTGATCACCTGACCACAGGGATGCTGCATAAGTGTGAAAAACGGACATAAGTCATTTTTTCAACACTTTT